AAATCAACATATGCAAGAGGCAGGATTGCTCATGCAATGTGATGTAAAAGCTTGAGAAGTCAAGAAAGGGTGTGGTGAAAACTGTCTCAGCTGTACACTCAGTCAACTGAAACTTGATGGCTCCAGCAAGTTTCTACACACCCACATAAACAGGCTAATGTCAACCAGTCATTCAAGGATTCTTAACTGTGCCCCATTTTTTGCTCAGAAAGAAAAGATAAACCCAAAATTTTATGAGATCATGCCCACTTCACATGTAATCCTCAGGATATCTAAGCTAATATTTCTAAAATTAAATCCAATATTTCTGTTCTCTAAATAAATACTAGATACATTCTATTTACTAGAAGAGGATTAGTAGAGAGATATATAGGAAATTAGTTCAGAGTAGTCTAATGGGCAGTCTCATTTAAGGGAAAAGAACTTGAAAATAGCTTTCAAATAGAGTTGATGGAGATGGTATGATCGTATGGTCAAGTTGGATACAAGACTCCTTTTGCAATGTTTTAAAACCAGGTAGATATAGCCAGCATCTTTCAAGAGAGGAAGATGTAAAATCATGGTCGAAAGGCATTCTGTTCTAAAGGTCCAAGTCTGTCATTTTTCATTTTTAACTTAGAAAAAATATTCCTAGAGCATATATATTGTGATGTATGCTATGAGGTATGTTAATACCATAGTAAGTTGCCAGGACAGTCTAAAATACCTTTTTAGTTCATAATACTACTGAAATTGTATTCATTTTGAAAGAAAAATTGTCAAAAGAAAAGCATACAATCATTAGTATTATATATTGAATGCATATAAAAAATATCCTATTAATTAACTAGAAACAGAAAAGGATGAAGGATATTTCAGAGAGCTGCATGGGATAGGAGTACAGTGATCTAATAAATAATATTATACAGTAGACCATGAGAGCAACAAAAGTAACCTTCAAGTAATATATTATCATTCATTTGAGCTTTCCTACAGATTCCTGTTGAGTTTGTCAGGGAAAGGTACTTTCAATATATAGAATTTTGTTGCCGCTGTGCTTTTGTGGTAGACCATCAATAGTATTTAATTGTGGCTGATTCGCTGAAATACGCAGTTATTTATCGAAATTCTGCAAAAACTGAGGGGACATTTAAACTCAGGTATTCTATGACCTACTTGACATGACAGAGAAATCGCAGTATAATTTGTGTATTCAAAGGGAACTGAAAGCTTTAGAATCTCTTATGGCATCAAATTTTTTAAAATGAATGCTAATGTGCTATTGCTAATGAATGTCTTTTGCACATAACTGGAAAAGTCTATTAGTTTCTTTTAATACTTAAAGGATTCCATTTATTATTAATGAATCCAATAACCTTTTTTTTTCTAGCTTTACAGAATTTGGTCTGACATATTTTACTACCTGTGTGCCTCCTCTCCTTCTGATTTAATTCTAGTTGTTCTGATTAAATCATCCATCATTTTTAGGAAGAGTTTTCTCCTTATTGGTTTTTTGGTACTGCCTCACTAGTTTTAGCTATTTCCTACTTTCTCTTCCTGATATGTCACTTTGAAAATATTTCAGTGACTTTCTTACATTAAATTTCCTAATAACATTGCAGTTTCAGTTCATTTTTCTATTTCTTATATTTCATGCTTTTTATATCTTTTTGGTGTTGAAATTTGAGATTTCTATATTATTTGGAGCCTTCAGTAAAACAAGCAGCTCCCTCAAATAAGAAATGTTACCCCTATATTGTCAATATATAGTTTGTAAATATTGCATAACCCCTAAATCCTGTGACACCTAGGAATAAGAGCTTTCTGGCGTATTGGATTTAGTTGATTATATTAGCTACTTACATTTTCTTGTTTTATGGACTAAGAAGTCTTTTATATTAACCCCAAAAAGACCATTTAAACTTTTTGTTTTGTGCAGCATGGAAAGTAAAGGGATATACTTTATAGGGATTGAGGATTAACTTTTGAACTTACCTGATGAAGGTCAACTAAGATCAAAGTCCATACAAGAAATGTTTGCAGTAGAGTATAGAGGACACCCATGGCAGTTGCCGTGACAGTATCTGAATAGGAAAGTAGAGAATGGGTGGAGGCAGGAGGAACAAAGGAATGCCATACTTGAGTGGGGGGAAAAACTCAAAAAATCTTTGAGAAGCTGTGAGGATGGAGCACTGTCCAGATAGAGATGTATATTGGCAAATGATGACCATGGATAACTGGCATGTGCAATAGTATATAGAATTTCTGGAGACAGCGCCAAAGAATGATTCCAGATAGAGGACAGAGAAATACAAAGAGCAAGCATCATCAAAGGACCGTCATGGAGTTCTGACTGCATCATGATCTCTTTCTCCCTTACAAGTGATACCCCAGAGTCCTAGCATCATCAGTGAACTTATGACTTGCGGAGTTAATCTTGTAAACTGTAAATCTGGGCCCAAGATTAATAATGGCAACTTGAATCAACATCTGAATTTTCATTCTAAGCATGATAGTACTTATACAAATGTGATTCTCAGCAAGATGAGCTTATTATTATTTCTTCCAGGGCTGAGGAATATTTGGGGAATGGAAGCTGTGTAGACAGAAAAAAGTTAATGTTATAATTTTGTGTTTGAGAAGCAAAGAAAATCTACTTTATAAAATATGAACTACAAAAAATAACGTCTTCTCAGCTAATGGGAATATGAAAAAATGATAATCCTGAACAGTGGCTGGGGTGCAGCTGGCACACACTGGCAAGGGTCACACCAGAATCTTCGTGAAAAGGGAGTAATGTTTTCATGTTTATCAAAGGAGGACATGAAGTAACGCAGAAAATAATACCAGTATTGTACTATGACCAGCTCAGTATTGTCACTCAAGTGTCTATACCAGTCAACATTTGAGTAGCTTTGAATGGCCTATGATGAAAGCAGAAATTGGGCTAATTTAGTGATTTTAAAAATCCATGATTATTGCCATCATTATGGGCAGTTCCACAAATTATTAATCATCAACTTAAAAATAAGCCTCACAAAATATACTATAGATACACATCTGGCATTATATAAAAGTATGCTTTAAAAAGGATCTATAGAACATAACTTCAAAAAATGTGACATCAGCCCCTAAGGCAGCATTGCTTTGAGATCACTCTGTCAGCTATCTCCATCAGAATCGCCAAGCATGCTTGTTTTGTATGCATATTTCTGATCCACACCCCTGCCTGGTGATTTGATTCAATGAGTCTGAGTTGGGGTGGAACGTGGGAAAATAATTCTTTAACAAGCTCTTCAGGTGGTTAAATGATGCGAGTCATCCTAACACCACACTTGGAGAACACAGTCCTAGAGTAAAGCCATGACACTAAAGACCATTTTCATCATACCTATGTGTATAAATGCATTTGTTACTCTCTCTCAATTGTTCATGGTGAATGACAGTAAGGTTAAAAGAAAAGAAAATGTATCTTTATAAGATAATAATACACGATATTTTAAAAAAAGAAACCTCTAGCAACTAAATTTCGGAAGCCAATTTTATTAGTCAGATTAGAAAGTAAGCATAAATTAAAAATTAAATATAAAGCACATTCCTCTAAGATTAAATCCATTTATATAATGAGGTGTTGTAACTCAGAATTGAGAAAGTAATAGGGAAGTTGAGGACAAGCCCATCTCATTAATCAGCTCTTCCTTCGTTATGAGTTTACGACATCAGTCAGAGCTTAAATCCTTTTGATTCTAAAACAATAGTTTCACTTTTAGGGCTTTTTAGAGATATTTGTGGACACTTTTCTCCCTCCTTGTTTCCTTGATGAGAATAAGTAAAAAATATCTATATGAGGCAGTCCATTATTCATATGTTCATATTTAAAGAGGGATATAATTTCTATCTAGGAAAAAGACTAGCCATTTAATTACAAATACAATCTCTCATTGTGTGTGTGTATAATATATAGACAGATATCTACTATTTAATTATTATTCATCTTCATTCTTCAGAAAATTCTTATTTGTTAAATACGTAAACCACATTATTTATAGCTTTATCTGAGAGGGTAGTACTTACTAGTTATCTTGTGAAATATAAGAAATAAAATATTTTGTGTTTTGCACAAATAGTCGTTTTTTTGCCTTATAGTAGTAGGCTTTTGCTTACTTAAGGTTTTTTTTTTAGGAATTAATTCAAAATGTGTACCATTTCAATGGTAGTAATTCATATCTTGTGGTTCTTACATTAATTATATTAACTAAAAACTTAACTGTTAGAATATATAGATTGACCAGGGTAAAAGAATTGTTCTTCCAAAGGAATCAAAATGATCATGTCAATAAAGACAGATAATGTCGTATATACAGTTTGGAGTGTAAAGACTATTATAAAATTACAGACCATGAGGAAATCTTATATTTGAGACATTTTTATTTGGTGAGTCCATAAGTCAAACTTCTAGTTTTGCGATATCCTACAATAGGAATGAATCTTCATCCTCATAATTGAGTTGTGTTCTTCTTAAGTAGAAGGTTAGTCTAAATTATGACCAAGCTTGACAAAGGCATCTATTCTCAAACTAGATTGTAAAGTAGCCGCTGGACACCCTAATAAAACAGTAGAGTTACAGTAAAGGAAACAATATCCTTTTCTTCCCAGTTCAGAACATAGGCCAATCTGATTAATTTGGGAACAGTGACAAAATTAGTAACTGCTTGTAAGTGCGTAATTTGAAGATTTCATACGTTTAACTTATATCTTAATGCTTTGGATGTGAGATAAAATAAACAGAGAAAATCAAATGCACATCTAGGAAAAAATAGCTACAATTCGTTCATTATTCATTTTAGTCTTTTTCTTTCTTACTCTTCTTTCTCTTAATGCTTATATTTGCCTTTACCTTTCTATGAAGATTCATATTTTTGAATCTAAAAGCGTTATTGTTATAAGAAAGCTAGAATTTGTAACCTTGGTTATGTTTCTTCGAGTTTGTTTTTTTTTTAAGATCAAAAGAAAAAGCCGGTGCTTGCTTTGTCAATATGCATACTAAAATTGGAATAGCACAGAGAAGATTAACACAGCCCATGTACAAGGACGGTTCACACATCTGTGAATCGTTCCCTATTTGTCAGTCTTTGCCTTGGAAGAGATGGGGTAAGGAAGCAGGATGGCAAAGGAGATTGAACGGTACTTAACTTCTACCCCTTGTATTTTATTTATCGTATTATATAAAACATTAGTGTTAATGAAAGTTAATCTTGGTGTGTAAATATAATTTGTTGTACAATTCTCTCTTCTTTCTCTGTATTTTAAAATACAAAAACCAGTCATTCTATTTCCAAAACCTAAGAAAATAAGCAGAACTACATGCCAAGATTTATTCATAAGGATATTCATTTCAGCATTATTTATAATAGGGAAAAGTTGGAAACAATCTAATATTTGAACAACACAAGAATGATTAAGCAAATTATCAGATTTTCATATTTTTAATCATAGAGTCATATCATTATTATGCATTTATGTGGAAATCTTATCTTCTGTATTAGTTTCCTGTTGTTGCTGTAAGAAATTACCACAGACTTCCTGGCTTAAAACAACACAAATTTATTACTTTACAATTCTGGGGGTCAGAAATCTCAGATGGATGTTGCTGGGAAAAATCAAGATGTCGGTAGCGTTGTGCTCCTTCTGGGGAGAGTCCTTTTCCTTGCCTCTTTTGGCTTTTGGAGGCTGCTGCATTTGTTGGCTCTTGGCCCTTTCCTCGAATCACTCCAACCTTTCACTTCCATCCTCACATCTCCTACCACTGACTCTGACTTTCCCACTTCCCTATTTTAGCGACCCTTGTGATTACATTGTGCCCACCAGAATAATCCAAGAGAATCTCTCTATCTCCAGATACTTAAAATAATCACATCTGCAAAGTCCCTTTAACCACGTAGTTTTTCAGAGGTTCTGAGGATTAGGCTGTGGACGTCTTTGGGGAGCCATTATTCAGCCAACCATATTTTATAAGCAAATAAGGGCATGCGAATATTTAAAGTACTTAAAAGAGTGCCTGACACAAAACACCCTCAGTTGTGATTTGTAAAATGAATGAGCGGATGAGTGAACTTCTGACTGCTTTCACAGCCTGATCTAAGCCACTATCAGCTCTTGCCTGGAAAATTCCAACAGTCTCCTCAAGGCCCCTGCTTCTATCCTTGCCTTCATCTATTCTCAGCACAACAGCTAGAGTGATCGGTTTACAGCATAAACCAGATTATGTTTCTTCTGTTTAAAATCCTACACCATCTTGTCTCCCATTTTTCACTCAGAGTAAGACTCAAACTCTTTGGGTGGCCTTGACAGCCCTACTCTCTGTGCTCCCTCTAATATGACAAACCATTTCAATAAACCTCCTACACTTCTACTCTGCCCAGGCTACACCAGCCCTTACTGTTCCTCCAAAACACTAGTGTTGTTCCCTCCGTAGGACCTTTTCACTTGTGGTTTCCCCTGCATGGAATACTCTTCTCTCGAATATTCATGTGGCTCATGCCTCGATTTCTGTAAGTTTTTGCTCACACGTCACCTCCTTGAGGCCTACCTGGCCACTCCATTTAAACTCTCCCTTTAAAACCCCATCATTTCTATGCTCCCAATGCTTTTTATCCAGCTTTGTTATTTTCCATAGCATATCTCATTTTAGCATTCTAAATGCTTATTTATTGTGCTTATATTTTCTCACCCCCTACTGAAATATAAATTCCAAGGGACAAGGAATGTTACACGTTTTGTTCAATGATATATTTTCGTTTCCTCTAATAGTGCCTGACATAGTAAGCCCTTAATAAATAACTGTTGAATGAGTGAATAATAAGATCCTATTATATGTCAGCTTCTGTCATAGGTACTGAGGCCACATCAGCAAACTTGATGGAGAATTTCTCCCCTTTTGGAGCTTGCTTTGAAGTTCTCTAGTCTACCAAAATCCACTCCCCTTGAGTCCTCAGTTTGACTGAGATAGAAGAAAACACTTGATGAGAAGTAGTAAGACTGGAAATCATTAATTAGCCTTGCTTTCCTTACACACCACCCCACCCTGACCACTCCTATACTTTCGTCCCAATTACAGGATATTGTTTCACTGATGTTTAGGAGATTAATTCAAATGGATGTAGTTATTAGTTGAGGGTGCTGTGAAAAACAAATAAGAAAACAACATGGCAATCTGTCCAAGGGGCACAGAATAAACCGGTGGGAAACTAGGATGTCACCTTAAACATTACGCCATTTCACACACAAATATATAAGATACATGCACATATTTGGGTAGAATTGCCTATAAAGTAAATGAGCCCTTTTCAAAAATTATTTTTTTATTGACTATCGTTTTAAAACTGCATAAGTCTAAACCTTCCTTCAGTATGTTACGTGAAGTTCTGACAGTTATCAGGTGACTTCAGGCTGGGATTATTCTATTTGTTTTGCTAGACACCACACATATGGTTGTCTTTAGAAATTAAGAAAGCAGAGAAATCATTTATTCGTGAAGTCAAGGTTTTAATGTGGCTGATTTATACTTTGCCATTTCCTTCCTGTATATCAAATACTCTTAAATTTTGAAAGAAACACGCTGTTGCTGCATCATTCCAAACTGTTTTAATCAGAGAGTGCAGAACCAGAACACACCAAATGGTTGACATGCAGTTTCCAACTTTCTGATCTCAACCACCAGGCTTCCCACAGATGAGATTAACAAGAGTGGAGAAGTTAATGTACTATTCTACTTGATTTTAGTTTTTTCTATTACAACGAATATTTTATTGAAATTGCCAAGTGTAAGTCTTTAAGAACACTACATTTTAAAGCTTCATTAAAAAACAAAACTTAGAGAAATTCAACTACATGGGTATCATGACCAATCATGTCCACTTGGTGGTTTAAAACACTCGCAGACACTTGCTCTTCCCATTTTGTGATAAAATATACGGAATCCAAATTTCTCCTCAAATACTAATCAAACATTTGGAAATAATGTAATCTTTCAAAAGGCATCCATTGTTTTATATATTTTTTTGTTCTGTGACAATCTGTTAATCATTTTTCTTCATTATTTGGAGGACTTTTTAAAAGTAAGATTTGAGAAGGCATCTATGTTTTTGAAATGTTGGTAAATGCTGGCTAATTCCATCATCAACCACAAGTTTAGTATTTTCAGATATAGATAATTTCTGAGTATAGTCCTAAAACAATAACGTGAATTACTGAAGTACAGTTAACTACTCATCAAATAAATTAAAATTACTTTTTTACTCAGAAATATTTTATAGTTTCATGGAAATTGTGTCTCGCTTGAAGCCAGAAATGTTAGACTCCACATTTTTTTAACACCAAATCATTGATATTGCTAAATAACCGATAGTGATTATTTATTTGTTTGTTTCTTACATTTCTAGCTTCAATCAAAAGACCTGAGACCTAAGAGTAACTTATTAGCTATGTGTTCTAGAGCAAGCCGCCTAGGACTTCTGAATATCACTTTTCTCATCTGTGTAACGCAGACAATTCCTGCCTTATATCACAGGGAGGCTGTGAAAATAAAATAATATAGAGACGCATTGTAAACTCTGAAGCCACTAGAGATAGAATATTGTGTTCTAATGGAGACATTAAGTGCTTAGACAAGCGTTCTCAGCTTAAGTGTAACTAAAATGTTCTCCCCCCACTTTTTTTTCTTTTTTCTTTCATATTACCTTTCCTTAGTAAATAGGGGCTGTGAGACACAGAAAGATAAATATTACATGATTCCACTTATATGAAGTATCTAAAATCATCAAATTCATATAAAATCAAAGACTGGAGTGGCGGTTCCCAGGGGTTAGGGGAAGGGGGAAATGGGGAGTTATGAGCCAGCAGGCGTAAAGTTTCAGTTAAATAAGATCAATAAACTCTAGAGGCCTGCTGTGCCACACTGTACCTATCGTCAGTGATAACATATTGTACATTTAAAATTTATTAAGATAAATCTCATGTTAAGTGCTCTTATCACAACAAAAAATTTTTAAAACCCTATTATGTGATTGTATGATTCCACTGATATAGAATAAGCAAATCTGTAGAAACAAAAAGTAGATTAGAGTTATTAGAGGCTGGGAAGCGGGGAAGATAGGAAGGTAATTAGTACAGAGTTTCTATCTGGGGTGATGAAAATGTTCTGCAAATAGTGGTGATGGTTGCACAACACTGTGAATGTAAGTAATGCCAATGAATTGTGCATTTAAAAATGGTTAAATGGTAAATTTTATGTTGTGTATATTTCACCTCAATAAAAAAAGAAAATGGGGGCCATGAAATTCCTTTTTTCCCCTGTAGATCAATAATTAGACCTTAAAAAATTTCATGAAGCATGCATGCATTCAATCAACAAATATACATTGAGAGTCGATTTTGAGCTGGCCTTATTTTAAGGATATCTTAAAGGGTTATTGTCTTCCTGTGTGGGGAATACAGATGTTTTAAGTTAGAAGATATTCATAGATCCTTCTAACTCTTGCGTAAAATTCAGAACTTCTTAGTTTGATGTTGCCAGTGTACTTTTAATGATTTTTGAGGATAGAGATCTATGCCCCCACTTATTTTTTGCCTCACTGTTGCCTTTCCTGTGATTTTCACAGTGGAGAAAAACGTACTGACTCTAGCTACAAAGCTCATCTTCACCACATAGGAAACAGAGAATATGTTTATATCCTCTTTTTGCCATAAGTCTCCTAAGACCTACGTCCCAACTGGTTATTTTGTTGACATCTCAACATCAATATGACTCACACTTAACTTATCTTTTCCCTTTCCCACCCCTAAGTTCCTCCTTCTGACGTTACTATTTCTATCAATGCCAATACCATTCCTTAAGGGCCCCTATTTGAGAAATGTTTATGTCTGTGACCTCGTATTTTTTTATTTCATCTTCTTTCTATTCTACCACTAACATTGTCCCTCACTTTACAAATTTCATATTTCAGGCACTTTAAATCTTGGGTCTGGATTGTTTATAACTATTAGTAAATTCTACTTCTGCCTATGATTCTTCTCCACTCTGTTGCCAGAAAACTTTCTTGGAGCTCTTATGCTCTTTCCCTTCTCA